GAGACAGCCTACAGACTGGGGAAAAGTATTTGCCAACTCTAGGTCTGACAAAGGCTTAACGTCCTGGATCTACAAGGAACTGAAACGTACTGAAAACAGGAGATACTTTTACACTTTAGAGCAAGCTGTCTACCGACCGTAGGCTCTCACCCTCCAGGGGAAACAGAGGTAAGAGTCCAGTCTGCTTTGATATTTACATTTCAAAGAGATAGCTCCAGGCCCTTGAGAAAGGTATTCCCTGGGTTGTAAACCAGCAGGAGGCTTTTAAAGAGATTTACATACATCCCAAAGAATTTGCAGTGACAGGCTTTGAAGAAGTTTGTCTAAAGTTTGGTCAAGCTGAGGGAAAACTTCTGGCGGCCCCTTGGTCACGCTCTGTAAAGCTGGCCTTGCCTGGGTTCAAATCCGAGTTCTACTGCTCATAACTGGGTGATCTGGGACAAGTTTCTCAACCTCTCTGGGTTTGATATCTTCACCTTGTAAATACAGATGACTAATACTTACCTCGCAGGGTACTTGTGTAGATTAAATATATTAATCCAAACACAGCACTTAAAACAGTACCTGGCACATAATAAGTGTATTACTTGCCATTAATTACTTTACCATCTGAGACTTAATTTTGACAATCATCTCATCAGAGATTTTTTGTTTTTGAGTAGGTAGGAGTCTCGCTCTTTAGCCCAGGCTGGAGAGCAGTGGCAACCTCACAGCCACTGCAGCACTGACCTCCTGGCCTCAGGTGATCCTTCCTCCTCAGCCTTCCAAGTAGCTAGATCTACAGGCACATGCCACCACGCCCAGCTAATGCTTTGATTTATTGTAGAGGAGGTCTCGTCAAGTTGCCCAGGTTGGTCTTGAACAACTGGACTCAGGCAATACTCTCGCCTCTGCCTCCCAAAGTGCTGGGATGACAGGTGTGAGCCACCATGCCCGGCCCCACCTGAGAATTTTTTTTATTTTTTTTTTAGTTGGAGTCTCCAGTCGCCCAGACTGGAGTGCAGTGGCCGCTCCCGGCCACCGCAGCCTCGACCTGCTGGGCTCTGGCGATCCTTCCGCCTCAGCTTTTCAAATAGCTGGAACTACAGGCGCGCGCTACCACACCTGGCTAATTTTTTGATTTATTGTAGAGATGAGGTCTGGCCAAGTTGCCCAGGCGGGTCTCGAACCTGCGGGTTCAGGCAATCCACTCACCTTGGCCTCCCAAAGTGCTGGGATTACAGGTTTAGCCACCGAGCCCAGCCCCACCTGAGAATTTATGTGGAAAATTAAATGAGATGATAGATGCGAACACCTCTAACACAGGCCTGGCATCCGGTAAGATTTCTTGAATCACTAACCTTCCTATAACTGTAGTTGCTATTACTATTGTTGCCATTTACACATGTATTACAGTACATGTGTTACATATTCTTATGAACTGACCAGGCGCGGTGACTCACGCCTGTAATCCCAGCACTTTAAGAGGCTGAGGTGGAAGGATCGTTTGATGCCAGAAGAACGAGACTAGCCTAGGCAACATAGAGAGACCCTAACTCAACAATAACAATGAAAAAAATGTTAATTGCCTTGGCATAGTGGCACACACCTATAGTCCCAAATGTATGGGTTGGTGGGAGGATGGCCTGAGCCCAGGAGTTTCATGTTACAGTAATCCATGATCTCACCACAGCACTTCAGCCTGGGCAACAGAGCAAGACTGTCTCTCAGAAAAGAAAAAAAAAGAACTTACACTGTTATTCTTTGTGTTGTTATTGTAATCATTATTTATTGTTATTATCTCATACTACTCCCCCTCTTTTTTTCTTTTTTTTGGGTCAGGGTCTTACTCTGTCAACTCAGACTGGAGTGCAGGGGCATGCTCATGGCCACCACAGCCTTGATCTGCTGGGCTCAGGCAATCCTTCCACCTCAGCCTTCCAAGT